TGGCGTCGACGCACTTCAAGTTCGTGTTCGATATGACGCCAAACTGCTTCGTCAAACATCGCATACCGCTTACATCTACACAGCGATCTCAACTGACATGATACTACATTGCTCTATACCATGCTTCTTTTTCTATTATCCACGACATTGTTTTCCCTCTTCATTATCCTTCGGCAGTGTTGACTTGAAGTTGTTTCCATACTACCTAGAAAATGTTCTATTGCCGTTGCTGTTGTGACTATGATCGATATTGAAAATAACCTAAAATATGTCTACCCATTCCACTGCTTGAAATTTAGAGCTATCTGCTACAGAGAGTGCGAAATCTCGTCAACGCAGGTTCTTTCGTGTGACGTTCGTGTCCTTGCGTAGTTACCCGATTTAGAAATCTTGATGTGAGGATTGATTGCGGGTCCGCTTTGACTCTGCCGCAGTTGTCCTGTGTATGCACGGCGGCGGCCGACTGCTTTCTCGCAATATCTACCACCTAGCTTCATGACACGTAGATGTCTTTCTTTGGATTCGACCAACCAAACAGTTTGGAAGACGAGAAACGCAGGTTTCTCGAGAGCGGCGGGCAAGCGGCCCAACAGGGCGACGTAGCTGTCTACACCTGGGGTGAAGAAAGCTACGACGGCCTTGGAGATGCGTTGCAGGAAGGCGGAGATGAGTTAAACGACGAGACTTTCGGTGTGGGCGAGGTCGGTACGTACAGGTCTTTCTTTGTACATTAGTCTGTGTGATGACCCTATGGCGCGCGTAGGCAAAGACTTCGACTTTTCGCACCAAGCTTTGCCTACAGACGGTCCCCTCGTCGGACTAAGTCGTGCAAAACCCCAGGAGTCCTCCCCTCCACATCAAGAATACAGGCCGCACCAACAGCAGCAGGCTGCTCAGCCGAACGCATCCTGTACGACGCTCACACCTGTCTTTTTTTTGTCGTCTCACCATACCTGTTCAGCTCGTCCAGTCGATTCACTATGGGAAAACAAGTCTCCATTCTCGCTACTGCCCAAGATATCGGGCTCGAAGGCGGCCTTTGAGCACCATCACATGCCTGCGCCTGCTCCGGCTCACGCGCCATCGTCGATGAAGTTTTCACCATTCGACGCACTGAGCGACGCTTCCGTGTCCTCCGCTATGCCAAATCGCCAACAGCAGCCTGTGACTCTCAGTCTTGGCGCTAATCAGACTCATGGCGTCCGTACGCTCGAGGAGATCGAGGCCGAGATGCGTGAGGCCTTCGCCGCACAGCGCCTCCAGAGTCAGTCGCCGTCACAGCAGCAGCTCTATGCCCAAGGTTCCGTGCGAAGTTCTTCCGCTCAACGACACGTCCCGCCGCAGTATGCGGTCGGCAACACCCCGCCTCCACGCATGCATCCCCAGCATGCACAGTCGCCGCGATTCCAGCAGCAACAGCAACAGCAGCAGCAGATCCACTTGCTTCAGCAGCAGCAGCAGCAAATGCAACTTTTGGAGCTGCAAGAGCTTAGGGACAGGCAACAGCATGCAGAACTCGAACACCTTCAAGAGCAGTTGCGCCTGGAAGAGCTTGAGCGTCATCGCCAGCAGCAGCTTCGTGCTCAAGTCCAGCAGAACGCCCAGATGCTGCAGCATCAGCGGCAGGCCTCGGGTGGTACCCCGATTGGCGAGATGCCGTATCGTCGCCAACCAGTCCACCCTCGCTCCGGCACGCCGTCAAGACACCAGCAACAGCAGCAAGGACAGCATATGGAGGTACCCTTCCAGCAGAGCATGCAGTATTTGCCCCGGGAGATTCAGATGCAGCAGCGGCTGCTTGCAGAGATGGCTCAGGCCGAGTTTCTACACAGTTTGCAGGGCACACCAGTGCCTGAGGGCCGGAACGAGCAGGAGATGCACGAGATGCTCAGAGCTGAGGCGATGCGCAAGATCATGGAAGCCGAGCGCATGGAGGAGAAGCGGAAACGCAAGCTTGAGAAAATTCGATATATGGTATGTCTGTCGGTTCATGCCTTCCTGTGCGTTCGCTGATTATGTTGCAGTCGAGATATAATGACCTTATGACACAGTCGGACAAGGATTTCATCACGCGCATCCAGGTTTCTCAGCTCGTTACTCAGGATCCATATAACGATGACTTCTATGCGCAGGTCTATGGCGCCCTTGTTCGACAAAAAATGGGCCTAGACGCCCCGCAGGCACTCCTAAGGTTTGGCTCTGGAGGCGGAGTTGGGCTTGGATTTCACCAGGTCAAGGGTGGGCGTCGTCCAAGCGCCATGCAGAGAATGGAAGCACAAGTCGAAAGGATCGTGAACAACGCTAGGATGCGCGAGAAGGAGAAGACTTGTAAGTATGAGGGCAGGTTTGATACCACGATCTAACGTATTATTAGCCCTGAACAGCCTTCAGGGTGCTCTCGGAAAGACAGCGGGCAGGAGTTACAAAGCTGCTCCGCGTCAGCTGCTCCAGGTGGAAGGCCCAGGAACATCGCCAACTCTTTCTCCTGCACATGCGCACATCTCCAGGGTAGACACGAGAAAGGTTGCAGATACTGAGGGTGTGGCAAAGGAGGCTGCCAGGATCGGTGCAGAGGCTCTGAGCGGGCATGACGTGCGTTCTAATTCGTGCTCACATTTATGACATTATCGACCGATCAGACGTTTGCAGGAGCAAGAGCTGGTTAGGAAGGACCCTCTGCTACTCAAAGCGGCCTTGATGATCGTGGAGCGCTGTATCGACATTCTCATGACTCTCGACGGACAGAGAGATCACCTTCCAGAGGAAGATGGAGAAGCACTCCAAACCTGGACGGCTGAGCACAATCAGCTGATCGACAACCTTTGGGACGGCCTTAGAGTGATGGTACCGCTTGAAACGAGGTGAGCCGCCCAGTACCGGCATGTCATTAGATTATTGACACCCTTCCAGTAATCCGCACCCATTTATCTCTATTCTCATGCCACTTAAGGGCAAGAAGATGCTCCCGCGTGTCCAGCGTTATTTTGATATGTCGCGTAACCTGACTGTCCTCACGCTTCTAGTCGCATGCTTCTCACAGCTCGACGTCGTTCGCGATTCGCACCTCATCGACCATCTCGAAGACAGCCCCGCGCGCAAGGAAGCCCTGATGCATTGGGACAACTTCTATTTCTTGCAGACGCATTACGTGCTGCATGTTGCTGGAAAGTGCAGCTTGCGAATCATCACTGGTCTCCTCGGTTTGTTTTTGGAGAGGAACGACGTTGTGACTATGGCACAGACGCCTGTAAGTCTACACTGAACCAGTGATTAAATGCGACAAACTGACGACGATGTGTCACGGCAGGCTGGCCTAAATATGCTCACAATCTTCGTGAGTCGCGCGTCGACGCTGAAGTACGAGAACGTGCCGGATGACGAGCGTCCAACGCCTGATGAGTTGTCTCAGTGGTATGTTTCTACTTGTCCAGGTCACACTCAGCTACTTACTCGGCTTGCAGGCAACGGATGTTCGATCACCTCTTCCAGCTTCTCGCGCCACACTTCGTATTCCTCTTTCCCTCCGTGCGCCAGGCCGTCGACGCGAATGTCACTATCATGAATATCCCTGATATTGACCGCATCGATCAGCATACGTGGCAATTCTTCGCATCCGTCGGCAGCCAGAGTGCTTCTGAGCAGCAGCAGATTCTTGTCACGTCGCTGCGCGAGCGCGTACTCGACAACATTAGCTCCGTCGCCAAAGGCTGGATCGTCGACGAGGAGACACGCCGCCTACGACTCGCGAACGTGAACCTCTTCCTGCGCTCCCTTGGGCTGGACAGTTCACAAATCTCCCTGTAACCAAGCATCCGCTTGTGGCTCCCGGGTCGTCGCACATCACGTGTATCGTTCTCTGTACCACATCTCGAAAAAATCTCTCAGCTCTCTGTAGTAAGTGTAGTAGCTATAGTTTTACGTTTTCTAGCCTTCCTTTCCTCCATAGGACGTTGGCAGGACCTCAATGTAGCGCCCGCAAAGCAAAATACCCATTTATAGCCCTAGGATTTGTGCGCCGGCGTTGTGGCGCTCACTCAGGTGCAGGCTGCATCCTCTTCTCCCAAATCGCAGGGCACCTACCGTACGATTGCTGGACCACACGCAAATAATACACGCGAATGGTAGGTGCTGGAATATTCTGAAGGCGTGGTGGTCCACGTATCAGACGTCTTGCAGCCTAGCGAAGTAATCCTGTGACTCGACCGGTATGTTGCGACGCTGGTCACGGCGACCCAAAGACACATGCCGC